TGAGGCAACTTTGAGGAAGCTGGTCAACCTGGGAAAGCTCTTTGGCACGCTTATCGCCAGAGAAGGTCTTCCCATTACGAGCTTGAAGCTACTGAATTTTGCATATTTGAAGGCCAAGGAAACTGCTTTTGCAGAGGTTATCCTTGTGACCACTATATTGCAATCCCAGAAGGGAGCAAAAGTTCGTAACGAAAAAGGTCTATTGGAAATCTTCGTTGGCGCAGATCAGTCGCCGGACATGATCCCTGGACTACAGTATTTTCTTAAGAAAGTTGTCGCAAAAACGGGCCTCACAACAATCGAAACAGAGAGGGAAACAATACAATGGGCTGTGAAGTCGGTATTAAGTATGCTGACCCGGTTGCTGGCTATGACGAGTTTAGAAGATACGTAAGTCCTTAGATATGATATATTACAATGAACCTTGTAGTGAGGATAGCGGGCATTGAGATGCGTATAAGATAATTATATGTTACAACTTAGTGGCGCCGTTGAAATGAAAGAGCTATCAGATAACTCTTTCAACAAACCAGGTCCGATGAGAGGCGTGGCCACAGACTGTTAGCAATAGGGTGGTGATTTTTGAATAGTGATCCTGAACCATTATTTACTGTATATGTAAGCTGTGGGTGAAGGTTCGAGCGAGTGCTAGTAGCTCGCACTTCGGACAAATGTGGCTGAGCCGCGCCACACCGGTCCTATCCGCGCGCGGAGATCAGTCGGCAAGCGCGACTATTCCCAAAGGTTGCTATGTGCTAGTCCCACAGCTCTCAACACCTCACCCACCTCATCCATTGACCCCCCCACTCGACGTCGCTGAGTCTATCGCGGCTCTACCAACTGTCAGAAGCTGTCACTTCTCCCCAAATCATGTTCCGATCAGTCCTCCCCCGCGCCGTGCCACGGCAGCTACGGCCGGTGTCTCAAAGCACCTTCTGCGCACCCAACATCTATTTCCAAGGCCGATTAAGGCGAGGTTATGCATCGGAAGCTGGTCAGTCGTCTCTGTTGAGATAAAATCTGATGCCAATGTGCTAATTGTGCGATAGAAGAGAAAGACTTGGTCATTATCGGTGGCGGTGTTGCAGGATATGTTGCGGCGATCAAGGCAGGCCAATCTGGCTTAAAGGTATGCTAACATACCATTGTCTGCGTAAAGTGCGGTCTCTGATAGAAGTGAACGTAGGTCGCATGTATCGAGAAGCGTGGCACCCTCGGAGGCACCTGCTTGAACGTCGGCTGTATCCCCTCGAAGTCGCTTCTCAACAACTCGCACCTCTACCACCAGATCCTTCATGACACAAAGCACCGTGGAATCGAGGTCGGCGATGTCAAACTCAATTTGTCTGCTATGATGCAGGCAAAGGAGACGTCAGTGTCTGGCTTGACGAAGGGTATTGAATTTTTGTTCAAGAAGAACAATGTTGAATATATCAAGGGAACTGGCGCTTTCCAGGATGAACACACTATCGCAGTGAACCTGGTTGACGGCGGCGAGACTACCGTTCGAGGCAAGAACATCTTCATTGCAACCGGTTCGGAAGCAACGCCCTTCCCTGGGTTGACAATCGACGAAAAGAAGGTCATTACTAGCACTGGCGCTATTGCACTGCAAGAAGTACCCAAGAAGATGGTTGTCATTGGCGGTGGTATAATTGGTCTTGAAATGGTAGGATTCTACAGACTGGCTGCATGCATGTACTTACACTCTCTTAGGGATCTGTTTGGTCTCGTCTTGGTGCAGAGGTCACCGTCGTCGAATTCCTTGGCCAGATTGGCGGCCCTGGCATGGACGCTGAGATTGCAAAACTAACACAGAAGTTGCTCACGAAGCAAGGCATGAAGTTCAAGCTTAACACAAAGGTCACTCAAGGTGACGACTCGGGTGACATTGTCAAGATCAATACCGAAGCCGCAAAGGGTGGCAAAGAGGAAGTCGTAAGTGCACTCTCATAATGTTTAAGATTAGATTCTAACCATTCTAGCTTGATGCGGACGTCGTTCTCGTTGCCATTGGCCGCCGGCCATATACTTCGGGTCTGGGGCTGGACAACATTGGACTCGAGACAGACGAGCGTGGTCGCTTGATCATTGACCAAGAGTTCCGCACCAAGATTCCTCACATTAGGTCTATTGGAGATGTCACTTTTGGCCCTATGCTCGCACATAAGGCCGAGGAAGAGGGTGTGGCTGCCGTAGAGTATCTTACCAAAGGATATGGCCACGTCAACTACGGAGCCATTCCGTCGGTTATGTACTCCCACCCTGAGGTGGCATGGGTCGGCCAGAACGAACAGGAACTGAAAGCTGCCGGTGTCAAGTACAAAGTTGGCAGCTTCCCCTTCTCTGCCAACTCGAGGGCCAAGACCAATCTTGATACTGAAGGCATTGTGAAGTTTATCTCGGACGCCAACACTGATAGAATATTGGGTATTCACATTGTTGGGCCCAACGCTGGTGAGATGATTGCAGAGGGTGTTCTTGCGCTTGAATATGGAGCGAGTTCAGAAGGTAAGCTAGCCCTATCAATATTTCCAATATCTAATACTAACAATCTCCACAGATGTTGCTCGCACATCTCATGCTCATCCTACTCTGTCGGAAGCTTTCAAGGAGGCGGCCATGGCTACGTATGACAAAGCTATTCACTATTAAATTCGGGTTTCGTAGCAGGGGTATTTGGTCTTGCATCAGCGCGTCGGTTCAAGCTCCGAGCGGGAGTTTGTGAATAGTAGTAGTAGGAGTATCTGTAATATAAGATGCCTCATGCATGTCAAAATAAACACAGGGAGGGATAAATGTTTCTTCCATACTCGGAGCAGCCGAATCGAAAAGTGATGATGCTATCTAGAGTGAAAGTCTGGTGTCGTCAACTGCTCACTGAACCCCGGTCGGTCTTGGCGCCTTACGTACGCCGATCTCCAGCTTTGGAACAAGTGGCCTTCAGTGACGACCCACAAGCTCAGCGAGAGAGCTTCAACTTCCAACCTCCCCAACCCCAACCTTCACAATGCGCTGGTTACAGCTTCTAACGGCCTCTGTTCTTCCTTTCACTGCTCTAGCAGCCAAAAAATCGTCCGGCGACCGTTTCAAAGACTTTCACACCCAATCGCTCTCGTCCGGCTCACTCAAGCTTGACGATGGTGTGTACAGCCAATTGACAAGGGCCCCACGGGACTACTCTGTCATAGTTTTGTTGACCGCTCTGGAGACAAGATTTGGATGTACACTATGTAGAGAATTTCAACCTGAGTGGGAATTGCTGAGCAAGAGCTGGGTGAAAGGTGACAGAAAGGCGGAGAGCAGGTTGCTTTTCGGCTCCTTAGATTTCGTTGACGGAAAGAATACCTTTCAATCGGTATGGTTCTCTTCCCATTTACAGCCTCACTCTTTCTAACGTCAATTCCAGTTGATGCTTCAAACCGCGCCGGTTATTTTCTACTTCCATCCCACCATTGGACCCAATGCGAAGGTTGACACTCAACCCATTCGATTCGACTTCACAAATGGGTGAGTCCATTTTACTCACATTTATACGTTTGAGTATTAATAGAAGCAGGCCGCAAACCGCCGAGGACCTCCAACGATGGATCTCCCGCCAGCTCCCCGCCGACGTTCCCAGACCCGCCGTCGCCCGACCCATCAACTACGTCAAGATCGTGTCCGTCACCACAGCTGTGCTCGGAGTCCTTACCTTCGGTGCAGTCGCATGGCCTTACATTGTTCCCGTCCTACAAAATCGCAACATCTGGGCTGCCATCAGTTTGATTGCTGTCTTGCTGTTCACTAGTGGCCACATGTTCAACCACATTCGTAAAGTTCCTTACGTATCGGGTGATGGAAAGGGTGGGCTCAGCTATTTTGCTGGAGGGTTCAGTAATCAATTCGGTCTGGAATCGCAGATCGTTGCGGCCATCTGTAAGTACTTCGACAGACTCCTTCCCAAGCTGCAACTAACAGCAGATATAGACGGCGTTTTGTCTTTTGCGACCATCTCACTCGCTATCAAGGTTCCCCGTATTGCCGACGCCAGAGCTCAACAACTCGCCGTGTTTGTCTGGAGTGGTGTTGTGCTGTGCATGTACAGCTTCCTCCTTAGCGTTTTCCGCATGAAGAATGGAGGGTACACTTTCTGGTTACCCCCATTTTAAAAGTTCTATACACCAGGATAACAGACAAGCGAGCATGGCCGAGGGCTGATTAGGATACTGTCTAGGAAGTGTGAAAGTAGTTGGAGAGTTCAAAAGCAAATGAAGGACACTTCTCGGGACGATGACATTGTTTTCAATTGTATTATAGAGTAATATTACTCACGCAAGGCGTTGGAGAGAGAGGAGGCTTGTCAAAAAAAACTCTGAGGCTTTTGTTTGGATATATAGCTATAGCAAAGAGGTGTACTATTCGCCATCAGTAAGCTTGGAGTGCTGCATAACAAAGTACTGAAATATTCATGTCATCCATGCAAACCCCTCTTCTCTTCACGCCATACTGCTATGATCTCATCTGTTCATATTGATATCTGTACAAGCATTAATCCTTGACATCGTCTCGACCTTTCGTATAGAGCTGATTGATTGTTAACCAAAGGGCAAAGAATCTTCGAAACTATTGTTGCATATATTGGATGCGAAGAATTGGTGATGAGATAAATTGTGTTATGTTCATGTGCAAAAGAGCACAAAGGCTGTTTCTCAAGTGAACAGAATTAGCGTGAAGGCATAACAATGTATACTTCTCGTGGTGGTACATGTGTAGAGTCAACAGTTAGGTATTAGAGACCTTACAACACAGGTCCATCAAATGGCTATATGCAAAAAGTAATTTAGCTATACTAAATTCAAAGAGATCTTAAATGATGAGCTAACAAAAAAAGTTCGCTGCTCATGATAGAGCGGGAAGTGCTGGAGTGGAAACCTTGGAATATATAAATATCACTTGACTGTAAAATGTAATTCACATGTAGGACCGCCTCCCACATCGCGACATGGGCAAAAAAATTGTGGACTTGCTGGGAATCGAACCCAGGACCTTTCCCATGCTAAGGGAAAATTACTGATGAGTTGTTAGAAGCTGTGGCTACGGCCGGACATCTATAGAATGAACTTACTACCACTAAACCACAAGCCCGACTTCAGTTGGAATTTCTCTGTTTTACAGCGTAACGATACCTTGCAAAATGGTAGGCTTCTGCTGCTTTATCACACTACGGCACAAGTGAATGTGATATTTCACGCTTCATGTGGGGTTCGGCTATGCAGGGGTTTTGATAGTACCGATTCTTCCAGGGTGCTGAGACCCAGGCCAGTCTAAAGGACAACCGAACACAATAATTTCCCCTCACTGTACTATCAATTGTACTTGTTGCTTCACAAGATACGCCCGCTATGTATTGACTTGTTTAATGAAAAGACAATATCTTGTATTTTGACTTGATTCATTGCAGCATGTCTTGAAGATTCCTGAGAGTTCTGCCCTCCGAAAGGCCAACTGCCTATACATATTGTGTATAGAAACTCACTCCTAAATCAAAAAGGTGAAGTCGGCTTTGTAGTCTTTATTTATCTCTAGTCACGCATTGGCATACCAAGATCAATCAGGCGCCCAGTCCAGTGCTCAAAGGAAAAAGAAATTTGTAGATCCACGCAGCGTGCTGGGCGTGTAATCCGGATGTGCCGGAACAGGAGACGGACATTCAACAACCATATTAATACTGCGCTCCATCGCAACTTGTTGAACATTAGTACCTTCGAATCCAATAATGAAAACTTAGAAACAGAGGATGTTACAGTAGGTATGTGTAACTGCTCATACAATCCAAACAAATTAGCTAGGATTATTGCTGATTCAACAGAAGCTCACCCAACGCGAACTCGATGCCTGGCTTCGTATGCAGTTCCAGCGACTCTGCTTAGTGCCGTCGGATACATGCAAGTGATTTACAGTCTTTCGCGTCCTGGTATTCATATCCCTCGCTTGGACTGTCAGAGATCATTTTAGAAAAACGCATCGAGTTCCGCCAGCGCAACAAGTCACACATGCATCGCTTTGGCCCTTTCTTTGCAAAACATTCCGTCCCAACCCATACCACCCGTCCCTATGAAAACAACCTGTTCTACGGGTCCTATCGCCGAAGACGAGTCCAATAAGATCAGGGCGACAACCGCTACTGCTCAGCTACCATTGTCATGGGCCTGATCCTTCCATTACCCCATATGTACGGTTCCGAGCAAACGGCACTTTTCGCGTGGCTCTAGACTTTCGCAATGACCTTCCCCTACGGTTCTAGACATCGGTAGAGATGACGGTGAAGAGTAGGAATGAATAAGCGCTTTTAGACGGTCGGACAGATGAGGCAGGCGTGCATCGTGGTCATCGTGACAGATGGTGTCATCCCTTCTACAGAGTAATCCTTAGCGACTCGGTCACCATCTCGCTTCGAAACCTGCGTCGTTCGTCATTGCGAACTCTCCATTGGGGTGCTGGTATGAATCGGCTCTTCGGCATGGACTATTGAATGTCAGCCACGTAACTGGAGGCTGAAGTTGTGAACCAAAACCCACGAATCGGCGCCGAGACGTATCATTCGGCGAATTCCCAACTCTCATTTCGAAATCCAACTGACATCCCGCTAGGGAGAGTAAGCATGAACGAAACACCACGACAACTTTCTTTAGTGCTCCATTCAGAGAAGTAAGCATGAACGAAACACCACGACAACTTTCTTTAGTGCTCCATTCAGAGAAAATGGCGCAGTCACTGAGCCAGATGGCGCAGTCACTTTGCCACGGGTCCCTTGAGAAGGCCCGATTCCGGAAGGGTAAACTCAGCGTTGTGACACGGCTAGATTCAGCGTTTCCGGAACACGTTTGCTGGCCTATTGGACCGGCTTGTAGTAACCAACATCATTTCCCAAATACTCCTTGGAGAACTCGACATTTGGCGGCTGCATCCTTACCGTGGTCTTGAGATTATCACGCATCATGGTCTTATTCGAAGCTTGATCTAAGGCGCTTCACATCTGCGATCGCTTGTGTTGGCAATGTGCAAAAGATGGATACAATGGACGATACTCTCGGTGATACTTTTGTATTACGAGGTTGGTCATCTCCTCTTGGGGCGATGGATCGCCCTAACGACGGCTCCATTTTTTCTGTTCTGATGCGGGATTATTGATGCGACTATTATAGCGATCTGGAGCTTACCTAGGGTTCACTCACGCCCCTGCAAAACTGGGGAAATGGAGGAAGGCCTGAGAACTGCTCGGGCACTCAGGAGGTTACGCATAGCCCTAGGTAACAGACGCGGACTCCGGCGTGCACGACCCAGATGCCCAATCAATTCCGTGACATCCCCCAAAGTTCTCGATAGCACTATGTCAAAAGCAATCAGACGCCGTCTGGTGGTCCAGGCCCTAATGCCCATCGCCCGGGGATATTCCATCGTGTTCATTTATTTCAGCTTTTATATAAGCCCGGGGAAGGTGAATGGTAGTACAAACGCAGCACAGTTTGGCCTGTTCTAAAGGGGCAGTTACTCATAAACCGTAATGACGACTCGACCTTCGACCTAATGCCACTTCACTCCTCCTTCTCCTCGTGCTCCGTCTAGCTCCCATTCATCGACTTGAAATCTCATCCTTCGCCACGATTCCGTGTTGTAGCCCGTCCCCAAGGCACATATCATCGTCCCTCGACTTGATTCACCACGCCTCAACCTCATTACGCACACGCCTCTGCTCCGCAGCATCTTCTGGAGGTTCAAGTTTCATCCCTCAGCGCTTACATTTAACTTTTATCCTTCTCTACACACAAAATCGCGGCCGTGAACACACAGCGCAAAGTCTCGATCCACTCATATGCCAAAATCGAAATTCCGTTGGTTACCTTAGTACTACCGAATCGACACCACAATGCGGAGTAATTTCACAGCAGCGATCGAGCCCGGGTCGAGAAAGTTTCAAAGCTTCGCAGAGTTCGTGGACCCTCATTCGAGGCCGTACTTAGTGTCAAATTTCGCAGAATGTGCTGTGCTCATTATGACAGTGGTATGTAGTTTACCTTTCCATGTCACTCTGTTTGCAGAATAATCACTCATGCGAGTTAGGCCCTTGTTATATTCTTTGTTATACGTTACTACTTGCTGGAATCGATACTCATACCACGTCTGTATGGTTCGATATACACCTCACTGAACGAAAGAGCGCGGCGAGGATTCATTAACCACCATCTCGCTGGGTTTGCAAAGTTCTCGATGCTGATCATCTGCGGGTACCCCTATATGATGGTCATGCTCAAAGCCGCGTCATTTCACACTCCGCTTCATAGGGGGAGCTGCCTGAGCATGGGCGATATGATGGTCATTATTGCTCAGGTATTCGCGGCCATGTATCTTCACGAGTTGATCTACCGCCACGAATTGTCGATCATCGCTGTGTTGCACCACATCGGAACTGTCGTCATTACGCAGGTCGCCATTACGTTGACGTTGGTAAAAGCAGAGTGGCATCTCGCAGGTATTGAATTCATGCTGTGCATGACATGGGGTGAGTAACGATCGCGCAGAGCCTTACGGAGGTCTCAACCTCTCTGAAACAACCTCATACTAATCAATACGAACTTTAGGCGCTTTTGACGTACTGTTCGAGGGCTGGGTCCACGGCGTCATCATCATCCATCGTGTACACCCCGACGACCACGTCAAATTCCGAAATTGGAGTCGCGCCGCGTGTATTGGGACCGGCATCGGCACGTTCATCGAAACTATTGTTGTCATGTACCTGTTCGGTAGCTACTGGGATCGTTGGAACGTTGAATTCAAGGTGCTGACTCCGATACTTCATCTCATCTTCAGCGCGGCCCAGGTTTGGGGCACTAAGAACTACTGGCAAATGTGGCAGCAGGCGAACGGGCGGTTGGGCCGGTCAAAGCGAAAGGACGATGAGGAGGCCCGGGTGGAAGGGAAAGAAGAAAATGGACTCGCTCCGCCATCGTCGGGGTCGCAGCAGTCGACGGAGGATTCGAACAAAACGGGTACGAAGAGTTCGCTTAACGTCGTGTAGAGGGGCGTAGCCATCCATGCGAGTGAGGTTGGGTCCGCGTCGATCGTGGACTGTTCCAACTCTCACGGTGTAATATTTATAATGTGGCGTTTTCTTCATGATTGGATTTATATTAGAGCGGTTTGCATAGAGCGGGGGAGTTGTTGGAACCAGCCGAGTCTGTTCTATTACTTGTGGATTTAGTTTTTATGATCCAGTTGACGTTCGATACCATCTTGGAGCCACATACCCGAGGCGTTTTGCGTCCCACGTTCTAGGCCCTCCATCGCCCGGAGGTTGCATCTCCAAACATACTGCAGGGTCATGCATGGCTTACTCGCGCAGATTACCAGCAAATTAATGGTGCAAACACTGGGTTGCGTGCCAACTGTGCTTAATTGAAAGAAGCATTTCAAATGACGTTTCGAGATCTGGCAATCACGATTTTTATTACACAGACGCCTGTATGCCGCTAAAACAAGACCACACCGCGCCTAATCATGCCGCCTATGCCTCCAAAGAACTACCAACTGCAGAAACGATACCCATCATTTACAAAGAACGCGGTCCAGAACTTGCTCCTAACGATGTTTTACCTGCTTCCTTTTGCGGCCATCACGGATCCACCTTGAATTTGAGCCGAACACCCATCGAAGTCAGCTCAACGTCCAAATATCTGAGAACCTGGGGAACTGCCACAATGGCAATATCATCGCCACCAGTGAATCTGATGCCTTGGCCATCGACCCAAGTGTCACTCTTACTCTCGCTACCAGCAGCCAGGCGAGCGCATCTTCTGCATCTTGTGATCAAGGAGCCCTTCTTTTTCCTGGTGAACTCCGAGACAGTTGGTGCCGTCGCCAGAAAGCTGCCGCAGGCACGACAAATCGCGGCTTTAGTGTAATCCGAACAGTTCATCAGACGATCCTGGAGCAAAAATGCCGTGCCGTGCGCAAGCAAAGCGTCACGCTCCATCTCACCAACACGGATACCACCACCCTTTTTCCTGCCCTTGATGGGTTGACCCGTGAGCGAGTTTATTGGCCCTGTTGTTCGAACTTGGTATTTGTCGTTGACCATGTGGCGCAGG